ATTGGCTCTTTGCCAAGAATAATCGTCGGAAGAAGAATCCTAATTATTCTTTAATTGTTTAAAATTGCTAAAAATTTTCTTCCATATCGTTCCATTCTTGTGCTAAACACGTTTCACAGAATTCTCACAATTCTTCGCGGATAATCTTTATAACGTTGCATCGACGTATTTACTCGGAAATGCTAGTAGAATTTCGAAAAAAAAAATGGATTTTTCTTCAGCATGGGACCGTCAAGGTTATTCGAATGATGGAGAAAGGAATTATAGCGCCATTGACGAGCCACAAGTACGGTATATTCTGGTGTTCCTACCCCTCCAGTTGTTGACGGAGTTTAATCATTCCGCGAGGAATTTAAAAATACTGTTTTTCCTTCCATTGTACTCAAGAACGCACGATAAATTACAAGGATTCTGTAAAGACTGTCATTATCTGATTCTTACATCATGATATGAAGTAAATATGGATTTTCATTATTTCCCAGTATCATTGAGGAAAAAATGTACACATTCGTAACAAGGAAAATATTTTTTGTTGCAGTTTTACTGTTAAATGTATTCCATATATTTTTTAACAGAGTTATACATTTATACGTGACATTAAGCACGGCTATTTTAGCAAATTAAAGTATTAACAATAATTGGCCAACTAATGATGCACTGATGAGCAGAGAATTTACAAATTATGATTTCTCATAATTTTACAGAATAATAATCAACCGACTTGAAGCTCGTGAAAATTCACTTTGCCTTATTTGTTCTGTTCCTGCTTTAAACTGCTCTTGCTCTTACGCAATGGAATTTCTCAATGCTGGAAACTGATTGAATATCAGTCAATAAAATCTTTACCATTTGATCCTTTCGTAATCACAACCCTAGAAGAATCTACAACCCAATTTCAGCTTATCAAAACCGTAATAAAAAGTAAAAGTTTCGGAACTCGGATAAAAGCGAAACGAACAAAATGACGGCTCAATACTTTCTAATAGCAATTAAATCTATTCTTAATCG